GGGCTCCTCCATGGAGATGACAGACTGGCCAGAGGGAGAAGGCAGAGTATGCCCCGGGCCCCCTCATTCCTGTTGGACTAACTGGTAGGATGGATCTGAGCTCTGGGGCCTCAGAGCTTCAGGGGGCAGACCGATCTCCAGTGGTCACCTTTGCAAGGAATCAGAAATTGTATACCAGCACTCAACACTCATTCTAACTCTTAAGTTAATGTTAAGCCATATCCTGGATCTTTTAATCTGATCTCCCCGTGTAGCATGCTTCACTGGTAGGAGTTTATTTTAATATTATTTTATTTTTGTGGTACTGGAGATTGAATCCAGGGCCTTTATCCTATGCTACACCCCACCCCTTCTTTTCTTTTGAGACTTGTCTCTTGCAAAGTCACTAAATTACGCATGTTGGGCTCAAATTTTTCTGTCTTCCTGCCTCGGCCTCCCAGAGTGCTGGGATTACAGGCAGGTACCCCTGTGCCTGTCGGAATGATTGCTTTTTGAGTCACCTTCTGAATAACCCTGGAACAGTTACTGTGTAGTTCACAGCAGTAGACGGGTGCCTCTTGTTGGTCCTGGGTGATTGCATGGGAGGAGAATGCTGCTTCTCTGAGGGACAAGCTCTTGGTGGCCCGGAAGACGTTAGGTTTCTGTGTTGGACTGGGGTTGTTGCTGATTTCCCTGCTCTGGTAACTCCTATGGTAACTTGCATGGTGGTGATTTGGACGGGATATTCCCTAAGAGACTTGCAGAGAAAACTGTAAAATAGGGAGCAGGCCTTGAAACTGGTTGTGTCTTTTCCACACTTCAAGTTCATGCTAAGTAAAACCAAGGTGTTCTAGACTGTGGAACAGAAATCTATAGACGTGGCTTCAATGAGAAATTTTAGCACTTACTAATCAGCAGTGCCTCTGGACCCCTGCTGGAGAAGTTGAGGCGGGTGGGCAGGGGCCGGGCAAGGCCCCCCGGGCAGCGGCGGTGTGGCTCCGGCCGGCCGGCCACATTTCCTCCAAGGCCTCAGGGATGGGGAGAAGGGAGGTGTGGGGCAGGGCGGTGACAGCTGGGCGCTGGGAGCCGCAAGACGGCACTGGTCAGCTCAGTTTCCTGTAGGAGGATCTGTAAGCTCTAATACTGGTTCTGTTACTAGCTTTTCTCAATCCAATGACATTTAATCGGATTTTTCAGGAGGGAAAAAAATTTCAATGTACAATCCCATATTTTGAAAGCTGCAGTCACAAGGAGACCCTTTCAAAACCTGTAAATCTGATACTAATTTAACAAACCAAAAAAGGATCACTTTCAGGTACGAGCTCTCAAAACTGTTTCTTCAAGGTTTTGTGGGCCATTCTGGTGCTAAGGTGATGCGGTGCGTGTCCAGTCACCCAGACTTGGTGGCTAACCTGACTGTCCTGTGCGTGACTGTCACTTTGCGTGTTCTGTAAGCAAGTGTTTGTTTCCTTGATGAGAGACACGGTGTCTCTTTGTTTTTATTCTTCCCCCATGCACTCAGGGCCGCCCATCGGGAGACGCCTTCATCCAGATGAAGTCTGCGGACAGAGCATTCATGGCAGCGCAGAAGTGTCATAAAAAAACCATGAAGGACAGATATGTTGAAGTCTTTCAGTGTTCAGCTGAGGAGATGAACTTTGTGTTAATGGGGGGCACTTTAAATCGAAATGGCTTGTCCCCGCCGCCATGTAAGTTACCATGTAAGTTTTTCTTGGGTCTTGGCTCTGTTCTACGCTGTACGCTGGTAGGTGCTTCAGCTGCTCTCGTAATTTTCTGTGCTCCTGGTTCTTTCGGAGGCAGGCAAGGTGGTTACATAAGGGCTTTCCCACCTGAAATCAGTAGTATCTGGTAATCATTTAAGACCTTGGTTGTGGACACCCGTAATTAGAGACACTGCACATACCTCTCTGTAAATTATATTCTTGCTTTTCCAGTGGTAAGCAGTTGATTTCTGAAGCTTAGTGTGCTCCTGATAAGCACTGACTCTGAGAGGCAACCTGGCTATGGAGATACTTTAATACGCATTTGAAGGTCAAATATAAGTACGGCTGGATCTTTCTTCTCTTTTTAACACGTTGTTTTAAGAAGGACAGCTTGATGCCCCTTTTTCATTTTTCACTTTTTGAGCATCAACTGTTTTTTTTGAAAATGATGACCTGGACAGCATTCCTAGTGCTGCTGCCCGGGATATCTGGAATGAGCAAGTTAGTTAAAAAAAAAAAAAAAAGTATATATATAAATGCGTAAATGAATTAGCCAAAGTTTCCATTGGATCACAGGATCAGTGCTTAATTACAAGCCATGCTCTTGCTCATTGGCAGCTGGGTGCCATCTGTAATTCTGTTGGAGGGGAATAAGCCCTGTAGTCCTGAGACCAAGTTCTGGTTAGCGACTATGGCGTGTCGGAACTTCATGTTAAAACTCAAGTCTTTCTGTGCAGTTTTCCCCTTTAAGTTACACATACCTCCTTAGGCATGTTGGGTATGTTTAAAGAGCCTGGTACTTGGAAAACAGCTCAAAGATAACTGAGAAAGTAAACTGCATTTATGTGCTTGATTCCAATTAAGTGGGCAGTATTAGGATTTTAGTTTTACTTTGTGGTAAAGAGAAAACTACATCAACAAACCTGTTTGGTAAAAGTATTACTTGTAGAACATTTGGTGGGGCTTAATCCTTTTTCCCCCTCGGAATTCCTAAATGCTCATATTCCATTGACCTGCTGCTTGCTGTTGGTGAATATCTAAGTTGTTAATGCGTGCAGAGATTTGAAAATGTATGATCAAGGTTAAGAAAGTATCTTATAATAATGGTTTGTATGACTGCTGCCTATAAACCACGGAGAGTGGCAGTATGTATCCTTAAGGACAGTCTATCAAGCATTGTGAGATGAAGCAGTTTCCTCAACATGTAGGGCCCAAATTCTTCTGCTGTGGCAGCCTTTTACTTCTCTGTCTTCCTCATGGAAAACTAGGTATTATTTACTGTCTTCATTTCCTGCCTTTCCTCCTCACAAGCTCTCAGAAAAGAAAAATTTTAAATGTATGTTTGACATAAGACTATATTTGTGTATCTTGGATTACCTTTAGTACCTTCCAAAAACCAAAGACAGACTGTATAACAAAACTTTGGCCATCTGACTTTTTAGCAGAGGAGTTTTACCCTTTTAAATACCAGAAATTGTTTATGCATGCTAATACTGTGCCTGCTGTACTGAATAGTTATTCCTGCCAACATACCTGCCACAGAGCTTAAAGAGATTGCATATTTTAAAATTTAATATCAAAATCTAAAGCAGTTAAAATATGATTGATGAACATTCCCCATTGAAGTGCCCCCCCCCAAAAAAGGTGCCAATGTCTCACTGATACTTTAAAGTTTGTCACTTTAATTCCTTTGCAAAAAAAATCTTGAGATCAATCATTTATGTATTGTGTGTCTATACATGCTGGGTTTTCTTTTAGGACTGTAAAAACAGCTACACAAAGCCAGGCACGGAGCGAACGCCTCTATCCCAGCACTTGGGAGACTGAAGAAGGATCGCTTTGAGTTCAAGGCCAGCCTGGGCTACATAGCGAGACACCCTGTCTCAAAACAAACAGACAAAGTACCATGGTTTCATTTGAGGAGTGCCCAAATCTTAACAACCTATTCTTTTGGTTGACAAAATTTTTAAATTTTATTCGTTTTGAAGCGGAATAAAGACCTACTATGTATGTTTGTCTTACAGATTTATACATGTTATACAGTTCAGGCATAATATGAACAGTATAAGCTACGTAACGTGTACAAGGTCTTGTCCTAGAATGAATGGCTTGATAGTTCTGAAAGCAGAATTTGAGCACAGACTGATTTTTTTAATATACTTAGGCATGTCAGTTTGTACTATTGGTTATCTAACCTCTAATGCAGTTGTTGGCAAGGATGAAAGTGTCACTCCAAAGTTGAGCATAAGACCAGCCTGTCGATGTTTGTCCTATGTACACACAATTAACTGACTTGTCTCGCTCAACTCTGTACAAGTGTAGACGCCGAGAAGAGCAAAAGGCAATGGGAAGTCATCTTGGAGATTGTCACGTGAAAAAAAAGTACCCCCTTGTCCATGTTCTTAGAAAATTTGGCGGTTCTGGGAATGAAGCATAAAGTCAGGGACCCCAGAGTCACTCAGCTGCACGGTGACCTCTATTCTGCGTAGATGGGCTGATGCTTATGTTCACTTCGCTTGTGAGAGCTGGCGGCTGGCGGCCTCTGCAGCCTAAGGGGAAAGATGTTGAATAGCAGGAAGAGAAAAGAACCCCATGGTGCTAGGGAATGAAACCCAGGGCCTGTTGCATGCTGAGCATGTGCGTTACCACTTAGCTGCACAATCAACCCCCCGGAACCCCATTTTATTTTTTAAGTTATTTATTTATTTATTTATTTATTTATTTATTTACAAGGTTTTTTCTGAGGCATGGTCTTAACTATATAGCCCAGGCTGGCCTTGAACTTGCAGCAGTTCTCTTGCCTCAGCCTCCCAAGTGCTGGGATAGAGGCGTGCGCCACCATGCCCGGCTATGCCCCCCATTTTCTCATCTGAGCTATCTTTTTATCAGCTGACTCTTGGGTAGACCTGTGCATGTATTTCTTGAGGGCTGTTTCGAAGATTGGTTTTTTTTCCAGGTCTGAAGATACAGATTAGCTTCCAACCCCATCTTCTGGATGGCCTGTAGGTGAGAATAAGACAGAGAGCTGAGCTGTTCCCTGCACTCATCCACTTGGGTCCAAGGTGTGCTTTGGCCTGCCCCGTGGTGAAGAGTGTTTTTTCATAACCTTACCATGTCATGCTGTACTACAGGGCAGATAACCTCTGTGTGATCCAAAGCAAGGTGCTTGGGATGGTGTGAGGAAATGTGATGGTTTTTCTTTTAGAGTGTGCAGAGGAGGCATTGGTGTTACTGCTTTGAAGCGAACACGTGTGAGCTGCTACAAACGTATCTCAAAGACTCTCTCTTTGCTCATTTAGGCCTGTCTCCTCCCTCCTACACATTCCCAGCTCCTGCAGCGGTCATTCCTACCGAAGCTGCCATTTATCAGCCCTCTGTGCTTCTGAATCCACGAGCACTGCCACCTTCCACAGCATACTACCCGGCAGGCACCCAGCTCTTCATGAACTACACAGCCTACTATCCCAGGTAAGGCCAAGCAAAGTGGAAACAAGGGACCAGCACAAAGGACTCCTTTGATAGCTAGTGCTCCCGCTCACAAAAGGAGATTGTCTGCCTCGTTGAAGGTTAGCATGGCAGGCTGTGGCTTCTGCTCACATCCCTGACCAAGAGGTCTGTTTCATGACAAACTGGATGAAGTTTGTTTTTTAACCATATATGGGCAGGATGATTTTTCTGGTTACCTATGTATTCAACTTCTCTTTTTACTCCTCCTAGTACAGGGCCCCAAGTGAGTAGCGCTGTGAGTAGCTTGTGTTAGGGTGGTAATATCATGGGGATGAATCACAAAACAGAAAAACCCACGGTGGAAACAGTTGTATTTTTAAGTTGCATGAACTTGTCAGCTCACAATACATAAAAACTTGCTTTAAGTTGGGTGTAGTGGCATACCTGTAATCACAACCACACAGGAGGCTGAGGCAGGAGGATTGCAAGTTTGAGGCCAGTGTGGGTAACAAGATCTGGTCTCTGAAAAAAGCAATAGAGAGAAACTGAGAAGGCAGCTTAGTGGTGGAGGGCTTGCTTGTTGTGCGTGAGGCCCTGGCTTCAATCCCCAGGATGTACTCCTCAAACAAAAGCACCTACAAAAACTGTTTCTTTAAGTGTACCAGGGCTTACATTCTTTTGCTCTTAAATCTTTACTGTAAGTGAATCCAGAATAAATTGCTTAGTGCTCTCTTATATTTTTTGTCTTGGGTTCTTTTTAGTTACACTCAGTTATCTGGGCAGTAGCACAGCATTACGGAGGGAATATAGTCAGCCTAGGAACCGAGGGATCTGAGTTTTCATTTTATTCCTTCCAACTGGGGCAAATCACTTAACATTTTGGGGTCTTATAAGATCATGGGATTAACCAAATTTTTGGAGTCCCCTTCAGGTCTGTGATAAAAGTGGATATACAAGGAATGACTTACTTCTTTTTCTTTTTAAAAATTTTTAACTATATTTAGCCAGGAGCCAATTCACTTTATTAATACATCTGCAGAATTTTATTTTAGTGTAAGTAGTATTGCTCAAAATTTTAAAAACAAAAGCAACAGGAACAAAAAACGCCATTTATACCAAGCCTTGTTTTGTTTGTTTGGTTTTGGTGTTTTTTTTGAGACGGGGTCTTGCTATGTGGTATAGGCTAGCCTTGAACTTGCTTATTTAGCCCAGGACGGCCTCGAACTCACCAGCATCCTCCTGCCTCAGCCTCTGGAGTGCTGGGATTACCGGCCTGTGCCACCACGCCCAGCTGCTTTTTTTCTAATTACACTAAATGCTTATTAGGAGTTTTTTCACTATCAGTACTATTGAAACTATTGTTTATTTCACTGGGGAAGAAGAATAGAGAGAAAGCACAACAGCTGTCAGCTAGCTGTCGTGTGCAGTTTTGAAAACACGATTCGCTGTTCCTGCTTGAGCACCAAGCCAGGCACCTCTCACGACTCATCTGTCACCTTCTCTGGACCCAGGGACAGTCTCTGGCTGCTGGTGGACTGGCACATACAGAAGGTCTTCATTGGCCTACAGCAGAATACCTGTTACCCTCAGCGCCTGGTGCCCACGGCTGCTTGTGCAGAGGATCCATTTCTGCCTCTGCCCGGATCCCTGGGTCCTGGGACTCGAGGGAACCACTTAGAAATGAGACCTGGAGCCTTCAGTGGCAGCCCCAAAATGGGAGGGCTCACACCTGTAATCCCAGCACTCGGGAGGCTGAGGCAGGCAGATTGTTTTGAGTTCGAGGCTAGCCTGGGCTGCAAAGTGAGCTCAAAGCCAGCCTGAATTGCGTAGCGTAGACTCTGTCTCAGAAAAAGGGAGACTCTATTGTGCCCGTTAGTAAGTAGGGAAGTATAGTGTGTGAGAGTCCTGTTTATGCACCTCTTGCTCGGGAAAGTTCCATTATCGCTAGTTGGATAATATGTGTGTGGCTTCTAAATAAGGACTATCCACACTTTCTTGTTGCTTTTAAACTTATCAGTGTACCCTAGTGATGGTCTCATTTACTTCATTCTTGTAACTTTTTTCTAATGTCTCAAAAGAAAAATACGTCATAATTTAATGACATTTATTTTTTGACACCTATGTTTCCCTCTGACCCTTTTGGTGGTACTGAGGATTGAATCTTTGCTCTGAGCTATGTCCCCAGGCTTTTAAAGTTTTTTTTATGTTGAGACAGGGTCTTACTAAATTGCCTAGACTGAGCTCAAATTTGTGAGCCTCCGACCTCAGCCTGCCCGACTTCTAGGATTACAGGCATGCACCACCATGCCTGGCTACATCTCAACTTTTAACTTTTCTCTCTTAAGCAAAGCTCATCGTGATCTTTAAATACTTGATTATATTTCTAGAGGATGATTTCACAGAAGTAAAAATTGCAAACTGAATGTCATGTTCATTATATTTGTACTGATGCTGCTTTTAGCGGGAGTCAGGAGTACTAGGGATTCAACCCAAGGCCTTTCCAATGAGATATATGTCTACCCCTTTCTTAAATTTTTTAAATTTTGAGGCATGATCTGTCTAAGTCACCACATTGTACAGCCTAAGCTCAAACTCGGTGTCCCTCCTGCCTCAGCCTCTGAGTGCTGTGGTTATAGGCATAAGCCATTACACCCCTTTAAACTGATGCTTCTGAATTCATTCTTTGTTTTCGAAAGAAGT